GGCGCGAGAAAACACCCGTCGCTTGGAGGGCATCCCAGAAAAAGATAGAACAGTGTGTACACAATCACCGCCTGGCACTGCACAGGACCAGACAGGCCCACATGAAGGCACCTGCACCTGCGCGGGTGTAGCGGGTGGCCGCCAGTGCCCGATGTGCAAAAAACTGTCAAGTGCATCGGACATGCACACGATAAACTACCCGTCGAGCGAATCCTCACGCTCGAAGGCCGCCGCACACTCTTAGAGCTTTGAAAAACATGCGCCGCTGCTCGTCGAGCCGGCGGCCCTCCGAGGCTTGAAAATGGCACTGCCTCGCAAACGTAGAAACATGGCCCCTCGACTGAATCACCGCCACTATCGGTGCATCCCTGCCGCGAACGCAAAGACAAGGTCCACCGTGCCGCGCGCAACAAAAAAAAAGGCTGCAGGCTCCTCCGCGCACGGCAGGCCCCACGCTCGATGGCCGATGCACAGAACCTCAGCGCACCGAGGGGACTCTGGCATGCGAGCGAGAGCCCGCCGCTCGACCGCCTCCCCTCTTCGGCTCCCGGTTGGTCACCCCTCGCGGGCTTGCCGCCCCTTGGCTCGCCGCACGCCCACCGCCCTCGGGGCGCCTCACGGAGCGGACTGCCGAGAGCAGCTGGCCAGCAGCTGGTCTCCCGCAGGGGGGGCGCCGCGCACCGGCGGAACTGCCAGGGCCAAGGCCGCGCCCCCCAGCCCTCCCAGGGCCTCTGCCGCCAGCGCCAGGGGCGAGAACACGAGCTGCAGGCGCGCGTCCGCCTCGGGCCGGCTCAGCGCGCGCTCGCGCGCAACCCACACGGCCGAGAGGCCGGCCAGGCCCCCAGCGAGTGCGGAGGCCATCACGAGCAGCTCGCGGCGCTCCGTCAGCTGCAGCCCACGAGCGCGCGCCGCACGCACGACCGCGCCGCCGCCGTGGGCCGCGGCCGCGGGCAGCAGCAGGAGGGCGAACGGCGTCCAGTGCGCTGATGCGCAGACCAGCAGCAGGATCGCTGTGAGGCGATGGATGGTGCGGAAGTGAGCGCGCAGCCACTGATGCTTGCGCACCCACGCGAGGATGGAGTGCAGGGCCACCAGCACGAGGCTCGCCAAGCCGAGCACGTAGATCCAGTCGTCGGAGTCGCGCGCCACGTTCAGATAGCGAGGCAGGCCTCGAGAGAGAAGGTAGAGCAGCTCGAGGCCCCCGTGCATCGCGGCCCACCCAGCCGTTCGCCAGCCGACCGCCTTGTGGAAACTCTTCACCGCTGGGTCAGACAGGGACAGGTGGGGGACCACCAGCTCGCTGACCGGAAGTGCCACCAGCGCGAGGTGCCAGCTCAGGGGATAGGCCGCCGCCAGCGAGAGGCCCAAGGCTGCCGTCCAGACGCTCGTGCGGTAGAACGGGCTGGTGGCGAAGCTTGCGAGCGGCACCAGGAACCACAGGCAAGAGAGCGCCGACCAGGCGCGCAGTAGCTGCCCGAGCCGTCGAGCCTGAGACGAAGCCAAGGACGAGGATAAATCCCAGCAGCCCTCCGGGCGTAGGTGCTCCATGGCGGTTTCTCTTCCAACCCCCTTCTTCCCCCTCGGGGAGGGCTTTATTTCTGTTCCCTATTAATATACACCCCCTCCCCCAGGCGAAAGGCAGCCAACCAGGAACCATGAGGACACCATACGGCCCCCCCACCACCATCCCTGTCAAAACACAATTAAAAAACTCACTCTGCCTCCACATTGGGAGCATGCGCGGCCAACCCGATGCGGCCCCCCCCTCCACCGTCCCTGTCAAAAAACAATACCAAGTACACTTTGGGGACAAAGTCTTGAGTCATGTTCGTGAGGCCCACGAGCACTTTGTATTGTTTTTGACTGGAACGGCGGGGGTGTCAGCATATTGCCTGCTGCGCGCAGGGCTACCATCCCTACCAAAAAAAACATACGAAATGCACCTCGCAGCTAAATCTGGATCATGCGCGGCCACCCCACGATCACTGTCAAGTGGCTTTTGACAGGAATGGCGGGGGTAGTGACTTATGGCCTGCTGTGCGCAGGCCCACCAGACACGATGATGTGCATGGCTTGTCGACAAGGATGGTGGGGGCCGACATGTTTCCCGATGTGTGATGCCACGTGCGCAAGCGCACCTGACACGCTTCTGCACGTGCCCCGAACGTGGCGCACCTGGCGCGGCTGGAGTATGCGGCACACCTGGCGCACGCGGAGCACGTGGCGCATCTGGCGCACCAGGCGTGCCTGGCACGCTCGAGCCCCAGGGGTGCCTGTCGCGCATGTCGCGCCTGGCGCGCGTGGCGCGCCTGGCACGCGTGGCGCACCTCGCGCCAGCGCCGCGCACATGGGGCCAGTTGTGATTCCCAGTAGCTGCCCATCCAAAGACGACCGCTGAGCATGCTGAGGCTCGAGTGTTACCTATGTATTGGGAGGGCGGGTGGGAGTAAGCTAGACGGCTTGCTATATAGGGGGTGTCTTGACCCCTCCCCCATTCCCTCTCCCCTGGACCTGGAGGGGGGGTTCGCGAGACGTTGGAGCGTCCAAGATGGGCCAAGATGGCTCCAAGAGGGCCTCAGAGAGCCCAAGATGACCTCCAAGATGGCTCAAATAGTTCAGATGGCACCAGATGGCTTCCAAAATGCTCCTGGAGGCCCCAAGACCGCTCCAAGACGGCTCCAAGTGGCCATGGAACCTCCCAAGGAGGCCGACAAGAGGCCAGAAGCCTTCGACAACCAAGAGAAACTTCATGAATGTGGCTTTCTCGCCTTTTTGTTTTCGATGGCCTTCCGAGGCCTCAAGGTGGCTCCAAGAGGGCCCATGAGGGCTCCAAGAGAGGCCCAGGAGAGCCCCAAGACGGCCCCAAGAGCTCCCAAGAGCGCTCCAAGAGGTGTCCAAGAGGGGTCCTCTAGAAGGGCAGGGCTAATGAAGTACCCTCCTTGCTTGATCGATCTCCTCCAAGAGCGCCCCCAAGGCTCCCAAGAGCGCCCCAAGAGGGCCCAAGAGGCGCCAAGGAGGCCCCAAGATGCCCCCAAGAGACTCCCCAGACCCCCAAGAGGCCCGAAGAGGCTACCCCAGGCACCAAAGCGCTCTAAGAGGCGCCCAGGACCGACAAGAGGCTCGCAAGACGCCTCAATAGGCCCCCAAGCTCGCCATTTTCCATTTCCTCCCCCTCCTCCTCAACCTCCTCCTCCTCCTCCCCCTCCTCCTCCTCCTCCTCCTCGTCCTCCTCCTCCTCCTCCTCCTCCTCCTCCTCCTCCTCCTCCTCCTCCTCCTCCTCCTCCTCCTCTTCCTCCTCCAACTCCTGGCTAAATCCGCGGCCCCGGCACCAGCTCCTCTTTAGAACTGGTGTCCACCGGGGCCAGGCGTCCCGGCCGGAGGTCCGCGAAAAAAATGGCAAGGGGGTGTGTCCATCCAAGAGGTGTTTGTTGACACCCGGGTGGAAGGCCAAAGACCACCCCCAAAAACAGTGACAGATAGTGCCCGCGACAGGACGCACCCACAAAAACAGTGACAGATATGGCGGCAGGGTGGTGGAGGGTGGAGATGCTCTTTCTGCTGCTGCTCCTCCTCCTCCTCCTCCTCCTCCTCCTCCTCCTCATCCTCCTCCTCCTGCTCCTGCTCCTCCTCCTGCTCCTGCTCCTCCTCTTCCTCATCATCGTCATCATCATCATCATCATCATCATCATCATCATCATCATCATCATCATCATCATCATCATCATCATCATCATCATCATCAGAATCATCATCATCATCCGCATCATCAACAGCAGCATCATCGTCAGCAGCAGCAGCAGCATCAGCATCAGCAGCATCATCATCATCATCAATACCATTATCATCATCATCATCATCGTCATCATCATCATCAGCACCCGCATCATCATCAGCATCATCAGCATCATCAGCATCGTCATCATCATCATCATCATCATCATCGTCAGTAACAGCATCAGCATCATCAGCATCATCAGCATCATCAGCATCATAATCATCATCATCAGCAGCATCATCAGCATCAGCATCATCAGCAGCACCATCAGCATCAGCATCAGCATCAGCATCATCATCAGCACCACCATCATCATCATCCGCATATTCCTCTTCATCCCTCCTCCTCCTCCCCCGTCCCCTCTCCCTCCTCCTCCTCCTCCTCCTCCTTCTTTTCACCCTCCACCAGTTTATCCTCCTCCTCCTCCTCCTCCTCCTCCTCCTCCTCCTCCCCCGATTGCTCCTCCTTCCTCCCCCTCTTGGAGTTGGACGGTTTCTCCAGCTCATTGTTCCTCTATGTGGCCCCCACTTTTCTGATCAAGGCAACTTTTTTTTACGACGACATGGGAGCTGTTACGGACTAAACTAGTTCCACAGGTGGGGTGTCCACGTGCGGCGGGTGCGACCGCAACACCAGCACCTAAGGCCCTGAATGGTACCGCCGTACCCGCTAGAAGACTGAATACATTCCTTGCTCGTCGCTGCAGTTCGTGTCGAGCTGCCTCTTGTCTGCTATGCATGGCCTGACGCTTCAACGGTGCAGCTCGATGTATGCGGGCTGGCATGCGCTGTGCGTTGGAAAACCCTGAAGGGCGGCTCTAGGATGGCCTCACATTGGCCAGAGCTGAAGACTTACAGACAAACAAAAATCCTGCTATGGCGGGGAACGAGAGATGGGGGGAGGGGAATGCTCCTCATCACCTACTCCTCGGGGAAAGCAGGAAAGAGGAGGGAGTGAATAGGAGTCTAGCTACGGCTCTGGACGAGGGGGGCCTTAGTGGGGACCTCTTAGGGCACATCATGAGAATAAAAATTCAGCAGCCTCCTCGTCGGCGGCCAGATCATGGGTCTGAACCTCGGGATCTGCATTATCTGAGGGGAGGTCACTAGTGTGATGTGCGGGGTCCGTCTCAGGAGCTACTGAGGGCCTCACTGCAGGGAGTATGCCGCCAGATACGAAACGCATCATCCTGTCATTCGTCGAAAGTGGTCCAAGCATGTCGATATCTCCTCCTCCAGCCAGCCCGCTGGGGCTGGGTCCAGGTGGTGCTTCGCGATCCCCTCTGAGCGTAGGCCAGCGAGGAGGAGGCTTCTGCCCTGCCAGTCCTTGGCGCCAAGGATGAGCTTGGCTGTGTTCGGGTCGTGAGTCTTGTCGATGCGCAGGAAGGCGACTTCGTTCTGAAGGGTCTCTACGTCGATCAGAGGCTCGAGCTGAGGATCCTCTGGCTGGGATTTCTCGAGGTATTCCTCGATCTCTTTGCGTACTCGGCCTCCCACTTCGCATGTCAATAGCCCCTCCAGCATTGCGAGGGCGAGTGCGGGGGTCGGTGGGCCTAGCATTTTGAGCGCCTCGGTGTCCTTGTTGGTGCGGTAGTTGTTGACCCGTGTCTTGAAGCCCTCGAGCTCCGTCGAGATGTGGGAGACTGTCGGGTGGTTGATTGGTAGCGTCCATGTGTCGGCCACCGTGCACATGATCATCCGTATTTTTGTGTGTTCTGGAGTGTGAGTGTCATCAGCGAGGTGAGCAGCATCTGCATGTTCTTGTCTTTGTTCGTCCACTGCTTGTCGGTGTGCTGCCCTCGGTGAGCTCGTCGTCCGCCTCTGCGTCGAGCACGGCGTGGCTCGTTCTGTTGCTCTTCCACGTCCATGTCGTCGTCCTCCTGGTCCGCTGCTGGTGTCGGTTGGCCCTTGTTGCCCTTGGTCCCCTCGACCTTGCGTCGGCGCTGGGGTGGTTCGTCGGCTTTGGAGTCGTTCCCAGAGGTGCCAGACTTGGTCGAGGACGGTGGCGGGCCTCTCCACGGGGCACGTGCTCCGCGTCGCAAGGCAACTTGACTGGGCATCGTTTCTGGATGGGCTAGTTGGTGATTTTTTGTTGGTACGCGGGCGCGCGAAGCGAGTCGAACGCCGTGCAAGCAGGGGAAGGCCGTGCCACAAGCTAGGCTAGTGGTTGTTTGGGGGGTCCGCGGGCGCACGAACCGAGTTGGACGCCGAGCAAGAAGGGCAGCGCTTGCAACCTGCAAAGGCACTAGTGGGGGTACGCGGAGCGTCAGGAATTCGGGTGAGGACAAATCGGGAATCTCTAAGATCTGCGCAGAGCGTCCCACTCTGGAACGCACTGATCCTCGTCCTGGCCCCGCCCGAGAGCCTCAGCCTCGGCCAGCGCCTGGCCACCCGCGGCTTGCGCCTGCTGCACAGAGCTGGCCGCCTCCGCGACGGGCCCCAGGGCGCGGCGAGCCGCGGGGGCTGCCGCGCGGGCGGCCGCTGCCAGCAGGGGCGGCAGGGTCCACGCCAGCACGAAGGCCAGCCCGTAGGGCGAGAGGCCCGCGAGCACGCCCGGCTTGAAGCACCACCCTTCGACGCGTGCGCCGCGGCAGTCCTCTGGGACCCCGATGTTGGTGAGCCCGGCCCAGCCGCCCACGCCGCCCACAGCGTCGCCCACGAGCGGCTGGACTGCCAGCCGGACGGGCTCGAAGAGGGCGCTGACGAGCAGCATCGCCTGCCCTGCGCGCACGAGGCCGACGCCGCTGACGCCCATCCCTGAGGTGCAGGATGCTCTGGGGGGGGCCGAGTGGCCAAAGCGAGCTGGCGGCTGGTCACCGAAGCCTCTGAACACCAGCTTGAGCCGCCGAAACACTAGCTTGAGCCGCCCAGGCAAGGCGAGGCCTACTTCAGGCCTGCGTGCGCCCCACGCAGACCTAAACTGGCCCTCCCTGTCCGGGTGCTGCCTAGCGCGCCACTGGCAGCACGCTGCTGCGCCCGTAGGGCGTCTAGCGGCACGGTGCCCCATGCAGACCTGAACTCTACACCTCGCCATTCCTTGGCGCTGCCAGGTGTGAAACTGCCGCCGCTCTGCTGCCCCCATGGGATGTCCAGAGGCGTGGTGCCCTGCGCAGACCTGGACGAATCCGTGCACTCCCAGGGTGCCTCCAGGCGTGCCAACGTCGCCGCTTTGCTGCGCCCCTGGGGGGGTCCAGCAGAATGCTCCCGAACTGCTGCCAGGCGTGTAACCGTTGCTGCGCCCATGGGGGTCAAATGAAGAGGTGTACAGTGGAGGCCAATCCACAAGAAACCTTCCACAAGAAACCCAACCCTGAGACCCCAGGACGTCCACGGATTTTTGGTGCGGGAACGTCGCGCTTCCCAACGCAAAACCATCGAAGCCCAGGAAGCCCAGGACACCCTGAAGGCGAGCAGGGTGTTTCTTGTCATGGGCCTCCAGCGTACTGCACACGTCCAAACGAGACATCGCCCTCTCTGGGGTGCCGCCAGGCGCGCAGGTGTCTTTCGCTCGGGATCGCGTGCAACCTTATCAAGTCATATGATTTCAGTCGATTGGAGACAGGTCGGTAAATCTGCTGATGTTGCCACTTAGCGCTAGCGGGTTGGGTGCGTTCCTGGGTAAGTTCGTCACTACCGCTTCTTACGAAGTAGTGGGTGCGTCCAATTCCCCCGTAGCTACAAGTCCCTGCACGTCTGGCATCCTGTACAGGAAGCGAGATCAAGAAGCAAAACAGCGGGCGGCGTGTTCCGCGGGCGCCCCCCCCGACCCACAAGGATCAGTCATCATCGAAGCGGGAAATGCGATCGAATCGGAAGGTGCGTCGGATCGGCTGCGCCCCGATACAAAACCACGCTGTGCAAGTATCGAGCCGCATCGGATCGAGCGCATCGCGTCCTTGGAAATCTAAGTCGAGTCGCATCGAGCCAGGTGAAGCCGGCATCGAATCGGACTGATCGAATCGAACTGGGCCCTTCCCCCTCCGGACCGCCCCCCCCTGCCTGTGCGAAGGCGGATGCGCGCGGCAGCGCAAACGGTGCTCGAACCTGAATGTCCAACATCTTCACGGCTGGATAGCCACTCCTCTCTCTTCACGACCGAAGAGTCCCATCAATTGCCACCGAACCGAATAGTCCTAAAGATTACAAACCCGACACTTTAACTTGCGAGGGCGGCGTCTTTTCAAGCTCGCGCTCGCGCTGCGACGCCGCCACATACTCACAGCTTCTCCCAGCTACAACGATGGAGGGCGACTTCCTCCACGTCTTTGCACGTCGCCGCGACGCGCGGTCGAATCTTAATACGGCTTTTCATGCCCACTGCCAACCCAAGAATCGGAGGTCTAGATGAGAGAACGGCGGCTCTTCAGCCCAGCCCCAAGTCGCTCATAATCGGTCCTGGAACAGCTCCCAGGACCCGTCCTGACCCCAGCCGTGGCGAGGAGAAGTATCCGGGATACCCAGGAAGAGCGGACAACGGCATGGAGGTCCGCTGTTGTCTCGACTGGCCATCCTCTGAGCTGACGCTCGTTGCAAGACCGATAACGTCGCAACCACGCAAAACCTGCGTCTTCCCGTGGTGGGGCAGTCTGTTCTAGCCACAACCCCACGGCGGGGCAACAGTCCTGCCACAAGGCGCGCTAAAGAAGCCCCTCTCTGGCCCCGAAGGCACTCAGGGCAACGAGAAGCGCTAGAGGAACGATCATGGAAGGACCAAACGAACCGCGAGCCCCTCCTGAACCAGACCTGCTCCTCAATGTCAGCGCCTTGGCTGCTGGAGTGTCACCGTTCCTCGGCGACGCTACCAGGGGGGAAGGGGAGAAAGCGCAGGCCTTCTCCGAAGGCCGCGAGGCTTCTCCGAAGTCCTCCGGCCTTCTGAGACGCCGCCCATGTACGCGGAGAAGGCTGAGATGAACCCGGCGCGACCCCAATTAGGGGAAAGCTTCCTATTGCATGGGCACAGTGATCGGCTTTGCTTGGCATTGCTTGGCCTTGCTTTGCAATGCTTGGCATTGCTTGAAATCGCTTGGCAGTGCTTCGCATTGCTTCGTAATGCTTCGTATTGCTTCGCATTGCACCGCATTGCTTGGCATTGCTTGGCATTGCGTCGCATTGCTTCGCATTGCTTCGCATTGCTTGGCGTCCGAGGAATTCGAAGAACGCGAGGAGCACCCCAGAAGAACCCGAGGATCACCCGAGGATCACCCGAGGTACCCGAGGTACCCGAGGAACCCGAGGAAGTTCCATCGAACAAGCAAAATTGGGCCCCGAGACACCACTTCTCAACCAAGTAAGAACCCTTTAGGCAAACCTGATCGGGGAAGAAGCTCTCAGAAGGCCCGGGGCCTTCCGAGCAATCTGAGAAGGCCCGCCCCCCCCCCCCCGTATTCCCCTCGGCGGTGGACAAACCTCCCTTTAGTAAACCTCCCCTTAGCGAAAGCGGCCTGGGACTGAAACCGACGGACCTGGACCCGCAAAAATGACGGCCGCGACGCCCTCTCGCGAAGCGAAAACGGCCGATTCCTTAATCGACGTGTCGGGGTAGGAGGTCTGTCCACCCCCGTGTTCCCCCAATTGGGGTCGCCGCCGAGCTCCAGCTCTCCGGCAGCACCGCGGGCCCTCGCCCCATGCGGCGGGCGCTCGCCGCAGACGAGGGAATTAGACAGCATGATGCTGGAGGGGGGGGGCTCCTATGGCGGGAGGGTGATGTTCGCCGCATCAGCGGGGCGTGCTCGGCTTCTCTCTGGTCATCATCTCCCTCCTCCACCTCCCTCTCCTCCACCTCCTCTGATTCCTCCTCCGCCTCCTGGATCCTTCGCCTCCGCCTGACTACCCTCTCTCTCTCTCTCTCTCTCTCTTTCCCTTTCTAACAATCTCGACCCCCTCGCCCTCCACAGATTCCTCCTCCTCCTCCACCTCCTCCTCCTGCTCTCCCTGCTCCTCCTCCTCCTCCTCCTTCTCCTCCTCATCCTCCTCCTCATCCTCCTCCTCTGACTCCTTCTCCTCCTCCGCCTCCTCCCCCTCTTCCTCCTCATAATCATCCTCATCCTCCTGATATTCCTGCTTCTCCTGCTCCTCGTCCTCCTCCTCATTCTTCTTCTCCTCCTCCTCCTCCTCCTCCTCCTCCTCCTCCTCCTCCTACTCCAACTCCAATTCTCATCATCCTCCTGCTCCAACTCAGATCCTCCTCATCCTCCTCTTCCTCCTCTTCCTTCTCCTGCTATTTTTC